GTTTCAGTGCCTCACCACCTTTATTAAAAATCTTTATATCTGGTCTAAATCTCTCAGTCTCTCATTATTCTGAGATGGACTCAGTGCTTGAACTGTTTCTTTAGCTGAGGAAGCAGGTTTGGGACCGAACTACAAAACATTTAAGGATGTAACATGGCTTTGCCCAAAACATTGCTTCCCATTCCAAATAAACAGACTTGCCATTTTATTACTTCTCCCATTGTGTGGCCATTCGTGGTGATGTAGTGAGTGTGTACAGAAGACTGTATGTATCAATTTTTTACCATTGTGCCCTTTGATCTGCTTTTGCCCAGTGAAAATAGCTGGGTAGTCACAACAGCAGACGGTGGGAAGCCTCCAGGTTCCAATGTTGCAGTGGATGTGAAACCCTATTGCCAGTTCTGGCATATGGGCGCTATAGGTGCCAGCACTCCAGGAATCAACTGTTTTGCAACAGTTGCAACAGCTGGCAGAGAAATAAATGCAGATACTTGTCTAAATAGCGGAACAGTGGAGGAGGCTTATATTTTTTTGATGCCTTGTCTGTGTTTAGGTGAAATTTGGGCTACCCAAACCCATGCTTCTCCTGCCCTGAGAGCCGAGGAGGTTTCCCAGCTGCTGTTGTGTCCAGTGTTAGATCTGCTCTGGGTCCTCAGATCTTTGAGACGCTGGGACAATTTCTGCCAAGGGCTGCTGTGCAGCACTGCATGTGGGATGTTAGTGGGATATGCACACACCTGTGCCATGCTGCAAGGGCTGTACCCACAGCTCCGTGCAAGAATGTCCATGTGTTTGTGCCAAAATCTGCCTTCCCAGCACAACGAGTGGGAATTTGCACGGGGAAACCAGAATGGAGCTACCAGGTACCTCTGGCTTCAGAAGACATTGCATGAGGTTTTGAAAAACTTGTTGCTTCCTCAAGTTCAGGCATCTTCAATGTCATTCTGTGCAATACTTCTTTTGTTTGAGATTTTTAGGTCTTTGGGGAGCTCTGGCTTATGTTTCCACTGAGCCCAGAGGGCAGGAAAAATGCAGAGTGTATTAATTGTTCATTGGATCTTCCCTATGATGGCTGTATTTTTCTCCCTGAAGATTTGGGAGGAGAGCACTAAGAGCTTGTCACTGGGAGTTTTTTTGGCATGCTGCTGATTTTAAAGTATTTTTATTGTTTCTCTGCAGTCTTTTACCTACAGACTGCAAGGCAAGCTGAGGCCAAGGGCAAATAAAAAACAGCAGCTTATAAAGCAAAGTTTGGGTTTGATCCATTCTGGATGTTTTAGACAGATACCTGCCCCAAGAATCTTACAGCCAAGCATGACAAGATGTGACAAAAGCCAAACACACAGGAATGCTTTGGTTATTTCTCATTGCTCCAGTGATTCATAGCAGTCATAAATGCGACGTATGGCTGCCGTACATCACCGTGGACATGGAGCAGCCAGGGGCATGTCGCGTTTGGCCCCACATTCATCCTGCTAGAACAGACAGCTTGATTTCTACTCTAGTGAATTGGAAGGAAGATGAGGAATAAAGTAACGGGCAAAGAAGAGCACAGGGCTGAGTAACCATGCAGAAAGGAAGGACATTTAGCAATGCCAGGAGAGAGAAAAGACAGATATCGTAGTTATTTCTGAAGATACTGCACAGAAATCTTTGGCTTGGAATGACAGCAACAGTCAAAAGAGCAAAAAAAGCAAGGGAAAATGCCCTGTCTTTCAGGCATGAGATCCTTACCTGTGCATCAAGTATAGCACAGTGAGGCTGAAGTTGTGGCTGACAAAGCAAGTGAATAATGCCAGTCAGCAGGGAATTAACATGAGGAGGTTGAACTGTAGCCAAGCCAGTGAAAGCAGGTGATGACTATTTAAATGTTTCTATTTATATGAAGAAGACATTTATAATCACAAAGATTTTACCTTTTTTTTTTTTTTGCATTCATCTTCAATTCAGCATGCTCCCTTCTTGCTAGGGAGCAATTTCCTTCCATAGTCATTCATCAGCAAGTTTGAGCTGTACATGAAACACTGATAAAATAGAGCAAGTTTTTCTGCCAAAAAGCATTTTGGTAACTTTTCTTTAATTGTTTTTGGGGAAAACAGTTGAAGCTAGGAAAGTGGCAGAGTTGTGTGCTCGAGCATAGAATTCCCTCTCTCCATTCTGGCAAAAAAAGGAAATGCTCTCCAGCAAAATGATGAGAGTTATAAAAAAATCTTCCAGCACACCACTGGTCACCCGCTGTGGCCAATTATAGTTGTGAAGCTGGCGTGTAAGCATCAGATGTTTGGCTATTGCATGGCTTTAATCATGTCACACTCAAGTGAAAAAACCCTTTGGCGTGACATATCCTATAATTTGCTGAGTTTTCTAACAATGGTACATTTTGCATTTCATTTGCACTTTTCATCTGAAAACCTAAGAATACACTCCCCTCGCTACAGAACAGAGTAATTAATCATCAGGGCTGTTTGTAAGGGGAAGCACGGCTGTGGGTACAGGCAGAGACTAAATTGAGAATAAAATATCTGTGTGCCACCGCTCATCACTCTGAGACCGCTTTCCTGTGCATCTTAGGATTTTAAACCATTTCAATCCTGTTCATAAAGGTACCTTAAAACAGTTGTGTTGGTTTCGGGGCCCCCCCGCTCTCCCCACTTCAACATGTATTTTCACTAATTAGTTTCTTGTTGGGTATTCTTTTTCTTTTAAAGACGACATAAAGTTGTTTGTACTATTTCTTGTTTTTAGAAGTCTTTTAGAGTATTTGATGTTACACATCTGTTTTCTTCAGGGAAGACTCTTCCAATTTTGTCTTAATTTCTATCCATTAAAATTATGAAGAGTAATCTAAATAAATGAGAAACATTTCCGAGAGAGAATACTTATTAAAATATGCAGGCAAGTCTGCATTCTAAATCCAGGTGTTGAACATTTCAAGATCTGCACATCTACAGAATATAAATATCATGCTAAGTGTTGATTCAAGGCAAACACTAAGTGATCAGAAGTGAATTTGGAAAGCTTGTTTGGTAATTTTTGATTACTTGTTTAATATTTTTTCATTGCTGCCCCTTTTTGCCCCTTACCTCAGTGCTTTGAATCCTTCAGTCCCTGTTGCTGCGTCAGATGCCTTGTATCCCTGCCCACAGCTCCCCTCCATACTCATATTGTTTGACTGCAGTGGCCACAACCCTGGCCCTGCAATCAGGACTGGAATTAATGGCTGCCACTGCTCTTCTATCCCCAGTGCTCAAACAGGCTGTTGAGGCATTTGGCCCGGTCTTGCTGTTGTGTGGGAATGGGGTCAGGTTCAGTCTGCTATCTACAGCTGCGGGATGTGAGGACTTTGGTCCTGTTTTTTCCAATGTGTGCCCCCTGCTTTTCATGCAGGACGTGCTCACTGAGCCTTCACCACCTCTCTTCTCTCAAGATGGGTGTTTTTAGGTCCGTGCTGCAAGAGAACTTAGACCACAATGTTTGCAATCAGAGAGGGGAATGTATGTGAAGCTGGCGGAGCTAAAAAAGTGTCTGAGAAAAGCTAAAAAAGTGTCATCATTTTCCAGGAGCATTGATTGCCTGGCCTTGCAGTACTCCAAAGCAGTGATGTTTGGTGGGTTGTTACCAAAATAAAGAAGGGGTTAAGGCAGCCATTCAGCAAGGGACTTAAAATGTGTTCGTACTGGTTACCCAGAGAAGTTGTGGATGACCCAGCCATGGAGCCATTCAAGGCCAGGCCAAATGGAGCCCTGGGCAGCTTCATCTGGTGGGTGGCAGCCCTGCCTGTGGCACGAGGTTGGAACTGGGTGGCCTTTGAGGTCCCTTCCAGTCTAAGCCATTCTATGATTCTATGATACTAACAGAATTACTGATTAATAGATTTAGTCACCGGTTACTTCCTGAAGATATGAGATACATACCTTTTTCTTAAAGCCTTTTGTAAAGTGCTTTCTTGGTCCTTGAGGGGGATTTCTCCCCTGTGCTTAAATGGAACAAAGAATACAAGCTAATTAAAAAAAAAAAACAACAACATTTCCTACTTTGTCTTATTTTCAAAGCAAATTGTTGCAAATTCCACAATCAGAGATAAGATAGAATTTAATTGCCATGAGGAGGTACAACCCCACTACCTCCCAGGGGTGTCCACTTGTGTGGTCCCAGAAGGATTTTGAAGGCAATACTGTGGGTAAGCATGGCCATAGTTGCTTGTTCCCAGAGCTCAGGACGGGAGGAGAGCTTACTGTCCAGGCTGGGCTTCCATGTATCTGTTACTCAAGGTTGGCAATGAAGCATTTGCTACATGTTTTGTAGCATGACAGTGATTTTGACTAACAAACACATGCCCTCTGTCTGCCCCGGAGGGTTTAGATATCGTGGCAGAAATTGACTTTTGCGCCTTCATGGATGTGTATTGTAAATTTTTTTTAATGTCAGCAGCCTTGCTTTTGCCTCCCCATCAAAGTTCGCTGCTTTTAGGGCTTCTGCATGATGGGCTTTTGAAATCTATGCAGTTCAGTTGTCAGGAGCTGTATTTACAAAAGAAATCCAATAAACTCATCAATGACACAGCAGGCATCTTGATGCTGCCTATTATTTTGGCAACTGTCAATGGAATTCCCCATACAGGAAAATCCTGTAAATGTATCAACCTTCTTACGTATAATATTAAAGTCAATCCTGAAGGATTCTGTTGCTGAGATATCATGGTTTTGAAGTAGATTCCAGAAGGCTTCTCTGGAACCTTCTTGACTCCACCATGGGCAAATACATGGGGTTTTCTGTAAGCATTATCCCTTGGTGACATCATGAGTGACTTGAGGACATTCAGAAGAGTTAATGAGGGCCACTTCTGAGAACATGAGTCATCTCTGACATTGAGTTACAAATACTTATTGTCTTTGGGCTCTACTCACATGAGCCTTAAAATGTTCCATGAATACGAGGTGGTGACAGCAGTAGTGACTGAAATTACATGGAACTTCTTTTTCTTTTTTTATTCACTGTAGGTGTTCTCTGCTTGCCGGACAGCTTGAACCTTCACAAAGACCAGCAACGGTCAAACAAGCCTGGGGAAGTGCAGATGTTCAGCCAGTCTGAGCTAAGGACCATCGAGCAGTCTTTACTGGCTACACGTGTGGGGAGCATTGCCGAGCTCAGTAAGTACGAGGTTGTTCATAGCACTTGGGTTTCTTTCCTCAGAGTGAAACAAAGCCACCTGCATTGCCTGGCTGTGCAGTGGGAAGACAGGAGCACACATGTAACACTGAAGGAGACAGTGGAGCAGACATTAGCCATGTTTATGCTCCCGTGTTTATGTGGCTGGCATTGAAACTTGAAGCTGGAGCCACAGGAGGAAAGAAGTCTCAGCAATGACTGCAGATTCTTTGCACACACTGCTTCTGTTTTTAAAGGTGAGAGATCCTAGAAGTGTTTAAAGAAAAGGTAGATGTGACATAATAGTCACAGACTGAAGCAGAGCTACATCCATCTATGTTACAGGAGAGGTCCCTTGCTTTTCCAGTTTTAGCAGAGGAAAAAAAAAACACTGCTCAAACCCGAATCAGACCAATTAGCACCTGGAAGATAAATACTTTGTTATTCATCAAAACATTTCTGGAGAAATGTGCCTGATTATTACATCTGAAAGCTTCGATTACAGCACAGATAAATTATTTATGGTTTTCTGAATACTACCTGGCTGCTCTGATGGCAGGAGGCAAATGCCATGTAAATCCTCGTACAGCATGGAGTTTACAGTTAGCAGAAGAGCCTCACTGGGATTTTTTACAAGTAAAGGAGCCTTCCAGTCTCATTTACTGTATAGACAGACAAAGCTATGAGTGGGAAAACAGATACTCAAAAAAAAAAAGAGTTTTTTTTTTGTTTTCCTGAGCTCTACTTCAAAATTCTGGGGAGAAACTGTAGAGTCAAATATAAAAACACACACAGCTCAACTTACTGTTCTCAATGTTGGATTCTGCATGATTGACACTAAACAACAACATTGTCATCTCAGGTGCAATTTCTCAGCCTTTTCTGTAACAACACGAGCAATGAAATGCAGCCATTTCATAATGTCAAGGCTCAGGTTAGGTGCTGTTTAGGAGTCTAGTGGATACACTGTGAATATTTATCTGCAAGCCGCAATATAAATTTGTTTTCAACTTGCTAATTTTCCTCTGTTCTGGTGAAATGTCAACAAGCCAAGAGCTCTTACATGCCTTAGCGTGAAGTGTTGCTCAGTCTCTGGAATCAGGTGTTCAGTGTTATTCAAATTAAGTAATTTCTGCTTTTTTATTTCACACATATGAAATACACAACAGTGCTTTTCATGTGCCAAGTAAATTATTCATGATATTTCTCCCTCTCTCAAAGTACGTATGGTTATATTTTAGTAAGTATGTGATCTGTGGATGTTTCAGAGATTGTTTTTTTTTCCCATCTTGGGCTATGTACCTCTATACACAACAGAACACCCAGGATCTTTAGGATCCCCTCACCCCTAGTGAATATGGTTTGCTCTGTATGTGTCTGTTGACTCCAAACACAGGCAAAACACTCTTCAGGGTGGCCAACTTGAAGAACACAGTGCCTCAGTGGGAGTTAGATGCAGCTGTCAGAGAGAGCTTGGCACGCAGCAGGCTGACAGCACTCCAGAAAGCCCTCTGGACAGCAATGAGGGCACCTCCCCATCCTCTGCAAGCAGATGCATGCCATGGAAGAAATTGTAGGAGTAGTGGTAGCTGGCAAAGCTTGCAAGGCTTTCTGTTCAAGCGGATAGAAATCTGTGTTGTGGAGCGATGCTGGTGCAGAGTTTAAAACTCAATTCTGAAGCATCGAGAGAGGTGCTGGGTGTCAGTGAGCAAAATGTGGTGGATTTAAGGGAAAATCATTAAACAGAGGAAAGTGTGAGGATATAATGGGTACTGCTGCCTGCCTGTTCAGCACTTGTGTGTCTGCCTCTGGAATCAGTGCTGGCTGTGATCTGGAGGTTACAGCGAGCCATGGCTATGGAGGGAGACTGGGGAAGCAGCAGCAGGGCAGAGCCATAGGGAACATCTGGGCATCGTAGTGCATCAACTGGGGAAGTGGAGGAGGATATCTGATTGTCACAGTGTGGGGTAGGGGTTGTAGAGCCTTAGAATTGGTGCTGTGGAGAGAAGGGGATATAGCAAGTTCTGGCATGGAGAAAGTGGGATGTGAGGGAAGCGTTACCTCTGAAAAAGCCCCTGCTGTTGTGGGGATGTATAAAGTGAATGGGCACAACTTTGAAACAGAAGGGAATTAAGAGTATAGTAGCTGTGAAGAGAGGAATAGGATGAAACCAGGGATGAATGGCAAGGATGAAAGCTTGACCTGCTGTAGTAACAGAACAGTAGAACCCAAGTATATGCCTGTAACATCTCATGGCTTGCAGTGTCCCAGGAGTTAGGATTTAATTTGTGTTCTCCATAACTGTACAAGGGACAAGGGCAGAGTGATCTTTCAATAGAGAAACTTACTTCTATCTCAGAGATGAGGAAAAAAAAAAAAGATTCTAATAGAATGAGATTTCCTGTAGTTAATCAACATTAATAATTAAAGCACTGAGAGCATACCGAATAACTAGATTTAATGCATGTACATTTCACTGGAGGAAAGACATCCCTGAATCTTGGTTCTGCCCAGCATGCTCACACGTAGCAGTGTGACCAGCTGCTGGAGACATGGAGAACAGGAAATAAAATCTATGACAGATGGCAAGCAGGGCCTGCTTATTGGCCAGCATCTGTATTTCTGCTCAGGACTTCTCAGTTTCTTCCCAGTCTTTGTCCCAGGTGGAAAGTAGAGTTACTTATCATAAGTGAAAAGCACTGCATTGTGTGACATCCCCACCTTCTCCTATGTGTGGCACCTTCTGGTCTGCTACCTTCATGTTGTCTCTTGCCCATCGTCTTACTCCCTTTTTCTTTCCTCTTTCTTTTCTGTCAAGAGTTGACGGCTGGTTATGCAGGGGAGGGCTGAAGATTTTCTGGGGGAAAACGTTCACCTTTTGGCTGCAGCATGAAATGAATTACTGGTGTCACTTACAGCAGTTTAAGCTACTTGGTTTGGCTGTGTCATTCCTTTAAGTAATGCAGAAATTGTCTGCTCTGGCAGACGAGTGCTGTATCTACTGTCATGCCAATGAGGAACTGCTTCTTAGAATACTGTGGTAAGGGCTTTTGAGGACATTTTTGGGGACAACTGAACTTCTTTATCTCTCTGCCAGCTTCATGTTTCCTGAAACTGGCACACCTCGATTGGTTCCATTTGTCAGGATCTTCTGGTGGTATCAACCAGCAGCCTTTCAGCCCCAGATCTGCAGAGCATGCTGACAGGATCCCTGTGCTGCAGTGTGCCCATCCCACCGGGCATGGTCATCCACCAGGGGGGATGCAGGATGGGTGGGAGGTGTCCAAAATCTCCTTTTCTTCCTGTCCTTGCCTGGAAGCTTCAGTATCCTTCAGTGGTGATACCTGTGGGTGAAATTCATGGTCATCTGGACTGTGATATTAGCATTTGTTCTTTTTTTTGCTGTTAGCACAGTAGAAAAGGCTGTTTAGGTGAACTGTGCCTCCTCAAGAGTGACAGAGGTAAGAGAGAATGTGGAAAATGGTGAGCTGGTGGGCACAACTGTAGAGGAACGCTAACACAGTCAACTGTAGAGGAGAAGTCTGACCTTCAGTGAAGTGTCCTCAGGTGTATCCAAACTTACAGACACTGCTCTGGTGCCCACAGATCCCACCTGCCACTACTGTGTGGCATTGCCTCTTGCTATCTTCTCACAGAGTCAGCAGGTTGTATGCAATGGCCTGGGCACTGATTGTCTCTGGGATGTCCTAGCATGGCAGAGCAGTGCTGCTAGCTCTGTGGTGCTCTACTGAAAATAAGAAGTAATACTGCTGACCTATGGAAAATCAAAGCAAGGTTTTGTCTCTAGGATTCAAGAGGAGAATGTAAATAGAGACCTAATTCTGTAACACAATTACTGAGGTAATATGTGATTCTGAAGAAAAGGCTTGAAAAATTAATGTGAAACCTTATTCATTAAAATATAATGAACATGGCAGAAAGTTAAGGAACAACAGTAAATTTTGCTTATGTTATATTGCCATTTTAGTATTCAGGAATTGTAATTGCCTACTACAGTGTGTTTTAAAATAATGTCATTTCATTTGAAACGCTTATTATATAGAGAACATTGGGAAGAACTGAAGCACAGCTGAAATAATAGGATTTAAAAGAGCAGTTTGACAGTATTTTACTGTTTGTTCTTAGAGAAAATATTTCCAGACTACGAGAATTCTTCTGGATTTCCAGTTTTTCCCTTTAGTCTCCTTCCTATTTAGACAGAAGCAGATCTTTGCTTGAGGCCTGCTTTGTCCAGGGATGGCCAGGTTGCTCTGGCTTTCCTTGGTGAGAAGTTGGCTGTCCAGTCTTGTGCAAACCATGGTGACTGGTAATGGGGAGGTATTGCTCTTGAGTGTTAACTGGGATGAGTAGGTGTTTTGATTTTAAAATGGGGTAGTCTGAAGATAAATATGTAACTAAACACTGCTGATCTCAGCACTTCATAGCCTTTGAATGATGTTTAACTTAAACAGATTCCAACTTTGATGTTCAAGCTGGTATTTCCTCCACATCACCACTCGGGTCTCAGTGAGGTTTTCCTTTTCACCATTGGAAAAATGCTGCTCTTCCCCATCGTCCTCTCCATGCCTCCACAGTGCTGAATGTATGCATTTCCAAAATAACAGACTCCCAGTAGACCTTGGCACACTTTAGGGATGAAAGGAAGCTTTACTGCTCAAGTGTTAGTAGAAGTGTGCTTGTACATACCAACACTGTTTTTCATTTCTGCTCTCAGCCCCAGCCAAGGAGATGATGAAAGTCAGCATCCCTTCCCCTGTCTTTTCATCTACTCTCAATCCTGTACAACTAACAGGGAGGAGGGCTGCAGGAGCCATACAAATTGATTCCTATATTGTAAATAAGAGTTAAGTCCAGGCTTAAGCAAATATTGGGATAAAGGTGATTGCTGGAAGGGTGGCATCTGAAGGAGAATTGTTGTAAGTGCAGTGCTTATTTACTGCCAGATGAAAAGCACTGTTTGTCAAATATTTTTCTTAGACTA